AATTTTTCCTCGCGGTCCACGTTAATTTGTATCCTTACAAGAGCATTGTAATATGACGTCCTTCATTGATTTAAAATTTGATCGTCGAAAATTGTCTATCGATTTCGAACTTGGAATTTTGTTAAAGAATATTTTATATCGGGGAAAATGCTTTCTCATCCAAATCGCCAAAAGTAGCCGAATGGATTGAAGATCGACGAGACGCTGCGCTAGCAATAATCGCTCAAGTCAACATAATTTTTCCTCGCGTCCACGTTAATTTGTATCATTGCAAGAACATTGTAATATGACATCCTTCATTGATATAAAATTCTGTCGACTTTGAGCTTGGAATTTTGTTAACGAATATTTTATATCGGGGAAAATGCTTTCTCATCCAAACCGCCAAAAGTAGCCGAATGGATTGAAGATCGACGAGACGCTGCGCTAGCAATAATCGCCTCAAGTCAACATAATTTTTTTTTCACGCGGCCCACGTTAATTTATACAGAGGACACTTATTAGGGCGATAGTGGAAGAAGTCTAATGACCGAATGACTATGTGAAAATGGAACCAAAGGTTGCCTGCTCTTTCGGACCTTTGGACTCTCGTGCCGTTCGTCAGGGCAATCGGTCAAGATGTCGCTACAAAAGGGTCTCCCGAAGGGCCAAAACTTGCTGACGTATGTACGTTTTGATCAAATTTATTCTCTATTTACGTCGCGATCTCGGGAGGGATGACGGCAGAAAATCGCCGAGCAAAGTACGCCGGAGTAGCGACGTAGAGCAAGCGTGCACGTAAACATGTGTACACGACGAACATGCCGGACGCGCACTTTATTTACTCCAGTTGCGTAGATCGTCACTGCGGTGATCTATCGCAGAGACAGGTCGGACGCGAGGGGAGAATTCGCGCCGAGACGCGTCACGGTTGAACCGCCTGAAAGCAGTCGAAAACGCAACGTCGTAGCTCCCTTCGTTTTTACTTTGAAAAAGCCGTCGCGACGATGGTCGTCGGAGCACAAGCAGCAAAAGCGAGAGAGACCGAGAGGAGAGGAGAGGAAAGAAAGGAGAAAGAGAGAGAGAAAGAGAGAGAGAGAGAAAGAAGGAAAAGTCAGTAACCCGTGTTTACCTCAACATCGACATTTTTTTGCGACGCAAATAAGTGGACTTAACTAACCTTGCCGTCTGCGCTCCGGATGGCAATACTTTGGTTCGAGTCTTCTTGACACGTATCCACATACGCCGACAGTTTACAGACTGCCGCAGAACGCGATCAGCTCCGTTCGACGGAGTATCTGACACTGAACGTAGCACACATGATAAGGTGCATTAATGATGTTCCTTTTGAAAGGTGTAGACTGCGCGCCATCTCTAGGCTCCTGGGAAAACGTAAAGCTGTATTCATAGTTCAGGCATTGCCCCAACGACCAATACCGTCACTCAAGCCTGGTGCAGACTGCACGCAGCAAGCAGCAAGCGTCGAGCAGCAGCCAATCAACGAAGAGATATTTTCTACGCCACTGCTGACGCTTCCGCAAAATTCAGCAGTGTTGGATCCTCGCTGCTTGACGCTTGCTGCTTGCTGCGTGCAGTCTGCACCAGGCTTCAAGCGTCAGCATGAAAATGCACCTTTAACGTTGCAGCGCGGCGGAACTTGGCTACGGAAACCAGCGCTGGCCAATCAACGTCTCGTGCGCTCGGATGTGGATTGGCTAGTGCTGGTTTCCCTAGCCAAGTTCCGCCGCGCGGCAACGTTACCGCGTCCAGTGGGCAGGAGTCATGGAGAATGTATACTCCATGTTACAGGCTTTACGTATTCATTGCTCCGCGATGGAATTTCCAATCTTACTCAATCAGTATGATTCGTGTTTTGTGTATTCGTGCGTTCGTTTATGGGTCGCGTACAAGGAGTAAATTGCCGGGACCCCGAGTTTTAATGTTTAGCGAAAAGTAAGGAATAATAAGGACTTCGTATGCATTGACGTACGTCACGCATTCGTTAGACATCTGCTGGACACGGTTGCAGGTACGAAGATACACTACAACGTCCCGTTTCGCCTATACCTCGCGTCTATATTTACACCAGTAAACTGCTGGTTTAAAAAAAAACTAACGAAACGTTCAAACTACGGACGTACGTCCCTTTCGGTCACAGGCAAATGTTGTCCTGAACGCGATCTTCGTTTCAGCATGGATACCAAGACTCTTCCGAGCCTCTTGAGCCTGAAGGTGGCTCCGCCGTCAGAGCTGCAGAATCCGAATGTCGACAACGGAGTCGGGGACGGCGATGGCGGCTCCGTTAAGCTGCCGGCCGCTTTGGAGCAGGCCCTGGCGTTCAAAACTGAGCGAGCCAAGGAAGTGGGCGGCGACCCGAACGACGTCGTTTCCGTAAGTAAATCGCCGAAGGACGACGGCGAGGACATGTCTCAGTTGGAGGACGTCATAGCGGAACCAGAGCCGGCGGCGGAGAAAGTGGAGTCCAAGTTGGGCAAGACAAAGAAGAAGAAAAAGTCAAAGAGGAGGAGGCACAATGCGGAGAGGAAGGAGTCTGAACAGAAGAAGGACGCGGAGGAGGCCAAGACCAAGAAGGACATGCCGGAGATAGAGTACATACAGGAGATACCGAGCATAAACGACTTGGAGCCCATGTACCGCCAGTTCGTCAGGGTCTTCGAGGCGTTCAAGCTGGTGGAGCCGGACCCGAGTCCGAACGACGCGGCGGACAAGGGGGAGCCCATCGGGCAGTATCCGCCGGTGACGAATGTACAAACCACCGGCACCGGGATACCGAGCAAGGTGCCGCTGCTGGACGACTTTGACGACGATGCGAATCAGCAGCAGCAGCAACAGGGCACCGGGGAGAACGGTGCGCCGCGTCTGTCCAAGCGCAAGCTCAAGAGGCTGACGCGGCTGAGCGTGGCGGAGCTCAAGCAACTGGTGGGCCGCCCGGACGTCGTGGAGATGCACGACGTTACCGCGCGGGACCCGAAGCTCCTCGTGCAATTGAAGGCTCACCGTAACACGGTGCCGGTGCCGAGGCATTGGTGCTTCAAGCGCAAGTATCTTCAAGGCAAACGCGGCATAGAGAAGCCGCCCTTCGATCTGCCGGACTTCATCAAGCGCACCGGCATCACGGAGATGAGGGCGAGCTTGCAGGAGCGCGACGACACGCGCACGCTCAAGGCGAAGATGCGGGAGCGAGCGCGGCCGAAGCTGGGCAAGATCGACATCGACTATCAGAAGCTGCACGACGCGTTCTTCAAGTGGCAGACGAAGCCGCGCATGACGATCCACGGCGACCTCTATTACGAGGGCAAGGAGTTCGAGACGCGGCTGAAGGAGAAGAAACCCGGCGAGCTGTCGGACGAGCTGCGCACGGCCCTGGGCATGCCGGTGGGGCCCAATTGCCAGAAAGTACCGCCACCCTGGCTCATAGCTATGCAACGCTACGGGCCGCCGCCTAGTTATCCAAATCTCAAGATACCCGGCTTGAACGCGCCCATCCCAGAGGGCTGCGCGTTCGGCTATCACGCGGGCGGATGGGGAAAGCCGCCGGTGGACGAGACGGGAAGGCCACTGTACGGGGATGTGTTCGGGATATCGCGCACGTCCGGCGCGGACGCGATGGACGAGGAGATCGACCGGGGGATGTGGGGCGAGCCCGAGTCGGAGTCGTCGGGCGACGAGGACGAGGACGAGGACGCCGAGGAGGGCGGCGAGGGTGGCGAGAGTGAAGGAAAGGACGGGGACGGCGACGCCAGCGGGCTGGTCACGCCCGGCGCCGAGGGCCTCATCACGCCGAGCGGCATCACGTCGATCCCGGCAGGCTTGGAGACTCCGGAGACCATCGAGCTGAGGAAGAAGAAGATCGAGAGCGAGATGGAGGGCGGTGACACGCCCGCGCTTTACACGGTGCTGCAGGAGCGACGCACGGAGGGTCTGGGCGCCAGTATGATGGGCAGCACCCACGTGTACGATATGACCGGTGCGGCGGGCGGCCAGGCGCCGCCGTCCGTCATCGCCGCGCGTCGCGGCGCCATCAGCGGCAGCGCGAGCGACGCTCGAGCCGAGAAGGACGGCGCGGTGGAATTGACGCTGGATCCCAGCGAGTTGGACCTCGACTCCGAGGCGATGGCGTCCAGATACGAGGAGACGATGAGGTCGAGGCAGGCGCATCTCAGGAGAGAAGACTTGTCCGACATGCTGCAGGATCACGTACAACGACAGAAGGTACGTGCCAAGTGGACTTCACTCTCGACTAGAATTACATTTTTCTTTCTTTATGTTTAACTCTGAACTATGTCGTTTCTATTTCTGTTGCAGAGCAAACGCAAACGCCAGCAAATCCAGGATACAAAGACATCTAAGAAATATAAAGAGTTCAAATTTTAAATATATTATTTCTTCAATTATATGTACTGTATAGTAATCTATAGGAATTAAATTCTTTCGGATAGTATGTGAAAATACAATTTTAGGCTTAACACTTTAACAATTAAAATCACTTTAACCATGAGGCGGTTATTACTTTTTGAAACTGTCACCTGTTGTGCGTCATTTTTACACGTCGCGTAAGTGATTAATAGAAAAGTCGAATCAACTGTACATATTGGTAGCGATAAGTTCATGATAATGCACTGCGATATATCTTCCAATAAATATAATTGTCTATTTTTATGTAATACAAACAGATTACAAAGAGAATGTAGACTTCAGTCGAATATATACATACACAGACACACACACAGAGTAATTGTTCGATTCTTTAGTTCAATACTTATATAATAAATACTAAATATTCCAATGTAATGACAGTAACAAACACATATATAGACAGATGTTTCAAAATAGTTACTTGTGTGAACGAATTCATAATTATATGTAAAAAAAAAGGAACCTACACGATATGCTTCTTTCGAGATAGTAGGCCGATCTGCCATCGTTCCAAACCTAGTTTCATAAGCGGGCGCGAAAGACATCGTAACAATACAAAGAGACAGGGTAGAGAGATAGCAATAATGAACTTACTGATAGCGCTACCGATATCGAGCCAACTCCCATGCGGCGTGACACAATACATTAAAGGCAGTGACAGACAATCGCCTAAAAAGAGGACAGCCAAAGAGATGGGCTTCGTACACTCCTCCGACTCTAGAGAATAGCTCACGCATCCCACCAATATCAAGGGGATGCTAAGTTTGAGGAGTATCAGGGACGTCATTAAAAAGGGGGAGAAAACGGTGACAAAGTGGCGCGTCCAGGACGGATCGAACGAACTGATGCTCGCCATATTCCCCGTGCCGAAGAAGCACAGTAGCACATACAGCATCTATAAGAAGCTGTTAAGGAGATATATAAATAATAATAGTTGTCTATCTGATCAAAAGTAATACAAAATTACTTGGTTAACACTCTGGTTTTCTCTCATCTAATTATCTCTAATTAATTCAAGCGTAAAATCGTCCACTCTTAATAGAAAGTCCTTGACGCTTAAAAGCTTTTTCTAAAAGATGATAAAAAGGATACAAAAAATGCCGCCTTAATCAAGTCTTCCGTGACCTTTCGTTCTCTTGAGCTATTTGAGGTAGGTGAGGCATCTTGCAACCAACAAAGTAGATTGATTGTAAGAGTCATGAAGAAAATCGGCTCGTAGGACGACGACAATAATGTAAGAGGACAGAGAAGTCCGAACATTATGCCTAGCGTTCTTTTCTTAGTCTCTATTGGATGGAACCAAATGCACAATGGTGTAGTCAGCAGGATAATCCACGATATCCAATGCCGACCATCAATAAACTCCATACACACAAAACTTGTAATGACTAAACGTAGAATTTCCATTATTTTCAGACTTCGTGACATCTCATTAATAATCACTACCGCTATTGCTATACACACGCCAATTATCCTGAAATCGAGAAGGAAAATGTTAGATTAATAAAGCAATTTCCTATGTGTCTTTTATAATTCTTTTCCAAAATTCGAAAGAGAAAAGGATAAACCTTTTAAATAACTGATCGATACTCTTTTTCTTGCTTAAAATAATTTTAACTGCCGGACTTTTGATCGTATTTGCAAGGACTTACACAATATAAACGCGTGGATATGGCTCCACGACAGGCAGTAATGGAAACACGCACAGTGCTAGCGTCGACCAAGTCATAGAAGCTGTTACGTCATCCGATTTTGCTACCCGTATCAATAAGAGTAACAGTATTCCTACGCTAAGAGCGAATCTATATGTTAATCCAACAAATAGCATCACTAGTAATAACAGCGTGCCTCCAATGTCTATGAACAGCTCCGTCGTGCTTCTGTCTACAAATACTGGCGTCGATGTCAGTAAAGTAGTAATGGCAAGCCATGCAGATATTATAGCGAAGGACGCATAGTATGGTAATCTCCAGCTGTGGCAATTGGATACTGTAAGCAAAGATTAACGCATGAATGAAATCCGTCTTTCGTGAAATCGACGATGCAATATAGAAATGATTACGAAAGCCACAACGTCGTTTGCGTTAATACATTTCGTTCGAAAGTGATTACTCACTTAAATGCCTAATCAATGTTATTACGAGTAGACTTGGAAACCCGACGTTCATTAATCGCAGTAGAAAAACTCGCACACTCTGGCGCCTTACTACTCCAGTTATTTTAAAAAATAACATAATTATCCAGCCAAGCCACATTATCGATAAGCATATTAAAAATCGTACTCGTTGATACTGCCTGAAATACGACAAGGCTTCCTTGCTGAAACTAATTGCGTCATTGCCCACTCGAATTCCCGCCATCACATTCCTTCTACCGAGATGCTGTTCGGCTTTGCGAATTTGCTCTTTTATCTGTGTCTCCCGCCAGTCGGTATGTTCCATATTTTCACAATTTACCGCACGATTGCCGGTCACTTGATGCGCAAGCTGTTTCACGTTGCTGAGTAAAGAACGTGCGACATAATCGTGATAATTCATATCGAAATACTGCCACGGTAATGCACCCTAAAAAAAAGAGAGAGAATATTACATTACGGCTCATTCGACTAAACTTTCTCAAGTTTAATTTTCAATTAGACAAATAATTAAAAGAACGTATAAAATGGTGCAATAAAAATAAGCTAACGCGTTCTATATATTATTTTACATATCGGTTATTTTATGCACACTAGTCTAATCCTAACGAAATGTTTTTACGTAAACTCTTACTTCGTTATTTATAGGAATAGGAATTCCTATTAGAGATGCTATCAGGGGAGCTATACTCGCTTGCTCGATGTCTTGACGAAAGCCGGACGATTTTATCCCTGCTCCCCAAACGATCAAAGGCGTTTCAGTTTCGGTGGGCAAACCGCTTCCGTGGGAGCCCCAATCGGTCATTCCGTGGTCGGACGTGAATATGTAAGCGGTGTCGTTCCCAAAAAAGCGTTCCGTCACGTTCACAGCCTCTTCGATCCTCCGATCGACGTAGTTCATATTTTCCACGTACTCTCTGAGCCCAAGATTTTCTCTTTACCGACAAGCCCGCGTTCCGAAAGTAGCTGCAGAACGTGAGAGGCAAATGTCGCATACCTGGAATGTGGCTTCTTAGCGTGTCCCAGAGTGTCGCATCCCAGCAGGTGAAAGAACAGAATGACTCCGTTCTGACTCTTCGCCGCCTCGGCCGCCGAGGTTCGCAGCCATTCCAGGTAGGCGTCGAACACCCAGGAGTCCAGCCGCGTCGTCTCGTTACTAAGGTTGGCGTCGAAGTCCTGCCACGCCGACGGATAGCTTCGCCCGTGGACGTTCTGTTTGCTACCTGTCTTTTCGAGATTTCAACATAAGCGTGAGAAGTAACGTAAACCAACGCTGCCGCCTGCCACTGAAATACCTTTCGTGAACAGCGGTATTATGTCCGGACTGCCCCAAGTCCAGGCCGCGTGGCTCTGATTGAAGACGGAGTCAAAGTCCACCGGATTCTCCCGCCACCCTTTGAAAATGGCACTGGGATCCTCGTACAGTCCCGCGGCCATCGCGACGTGCCCCGGCCTGGACTCGGTGGGCACTCGCGTGTGAGATATGCCCCAAACGCCCCTGTTCTTCATCGTATCCCTGAAACACAAGTAATTTTAGTTAATAAAATCGAACAAGTACTGAAACCATGGAAAACAAATCAATGCTTTTAACAATAAAAGTCTCTCCTCTTGTCGCCAGCAATATTCAAGTAAAAGAGGTGAAAATGCTATGCTGCAAGTTGACCAAACTGGCAACATATTTATTTATCTACAATGTTTCGGCTCCGTTTCGAGCCCATCTCAAGTGAACTTGGGTAGAATCTTGTTACTTAGTAGCGGGAACATGAAGTATCACGTAAGATGCAGCCTCGCATTTCACGAGAACGTCACCGCAGTCAATTTTGTAAAACTCATGGTCGATAATTGAGCCGACGTTTGCTTCGAGAGTCATGTCTTGAACAGACGAACGCTAGTAGCCGACGTGATACTTCATGTTCCCGCTACTAAGGCCCGGTTTTACCAACGTTGTTTGACTTTAAACTTGGCTTAATTCGTTCTTTGTCTCTTTCTAGAGTAACAGTTGGAAAGAGACAAAGAACAAATTGAACTAAGCTTAACGTTAAGCAATGTTGGTAAAACCGGGCTTGAGTAACAAGATTCCACTCAAGTTTACTTGAGAAGGGCTCGAAACGGAGCTGAAACATTGTAGATAAATAAATATATTGCCAGTTTGGTCAACTTACAACATAACACTTTTACCTCCAATGTTTTTAAGACTCGTGAGTCTTTTTTTCTTAAATTAAAACAGCATTAACGCACGTAGGGCTGTACACAAACTGATTGATAGTGTCATTAATTATGCATTGGAAGCGGAGGCAATTTCGTTTGCACCTGAGATAAGGCGGTGGCTTCTCTATGAACGTCTGAAACCTCAGGCCGTCCGCCACGAAGAGGAGCAGTCTTTTGGCCGGTGGTCCGCTGGGCGCCGGTACAATGGGCAATCCTCTAATAACAGGCGAATGAAAGTTGACGTCCAGCACACCCCACAGCAGGACCAAGTGCAGAGTTAACCCCCAGAAAACAAATAGATAATCTTTGCCCGTTTCGATCCATTGCTCCCAGGACCTTCCCGGCCCGGACAATTCGCGACTCGTGTTATCCGATAACCTTTTCCCTCGCGTGAACATCCTCGGCTTGGACTTTCGAACCCGTAAGGCTGAGACGGACGAGATTTGACACAACACAGTACATGTAACACCACGTCAACAGAAACGTACAAATCGATTCGGAGGATCGAACTAAATCGTTAGACTTGTATTCCGTTAATCGTGCTCGGTGCATCGCGTGTCTTTATCTCCCGTTTTCTATAGATATAAGAATTATCTATATACGTATATTCTATATTGAATTATTGAAACAGTGCGTATACGAATGTTCGGTACGCATGTGACTTACTGTGGGTAACTTATCAACCGTTCGGCGTCGTACGAAATTTGAGAAATTTGTAAAATAGTCGAGAGAAAAATATAATCAACGAGAGAGCACAATCGGAAAAGAAGTGGTGGTTTGATCGAATTTTTGTTGTACTTTCCAAGTGTTTGTAAAATAGAAAATTGTCGAATTTTGTCGCCTGAATCTAATGGTAAGTTATAGACTGTAAATTGCCGATGTTTATCGACAAAAACAAGAGTTTCGTAAGTTATTTCGTAAAATCATTCATGTGAGAATTGTTTCAAATTTTTACAGTTTATTCTTTACATCAATACGTGCAAAGACTAATTTAATTAAAATTAACCGTCTCAATGTTCTAACAAAAAAAAATTTTTTAAGTTTGCTATGCTACACGAAATATTACGTGTAAAACACGTTAAAAATATTTTTACACATAACAATATAATTCGTTGTAATATTATTACACGTGAGATATTATTTACACATATTATTATGCGTTAAAATATTAATATTTGCGTTTGCAAACGCAAATGATGGTAAATTTTATTTTTCAAGTTTAACGGTGAGTGAGATTCGTATGAGAAACAAATACGTTATAAAGTAAAATCGAACGAATAGGTGGGAAGAAAAATCAAAATTATTGACCGGTCCGTTTCAACAATGTAAACAGTTAAAACTGAGAAATGGGAAGAATTATGCAGTAGACACGAGTGTGGTGTAAGAGATATGGCAACAGCGCCTCAAACTATAATCTTTCGGATCTATTTTATGTTATGTAATTAATCGCAAGTGTATTCTTTAAAACAATATTGCATCAAAATATATCATTGTCACAATTGAGCGCTGGTTCCTGTCTGGAAGAAACTTTTGAGCATTGCTGTCACTGTTTCATGCAAAGATATACACGCATTAATGAAATAAAAATGAATAGCGACGAAATAACGCAATGTGGAAAAAGCTGAACACAGCAGTTTAAATTTTTCCGTGCAAATTTTATTATTTTATCACGCGTATCTACAGTTATTTAAAAATTATTTAGGTACATCGGCAGAAATACGTATTTTTACAGAAGAAACAAGTGCTTAAGTATCACTTCCGGACTAGCACAAAGTTGATCATCTAAAAAATAGATTGCGACACACAACCCAGAACAAAATTTTGTTATGTACATTTCACGAATATATATCGTTTTAGTACAGCACCGGTTTGCAACCTCTATATCTCCATGGTACCTAAAAAATTACATACGTTTCAAAAAGAAATATAAAACGTCGCTTAACTAAGCTTATCTCCTTTCAATTCCTTATTATAATATACTATAGCACGCTCGATCAACGACGCATCCTTCGTGGTTGCCTCCGCTGAGCTTTTACTATTTTTACTAGGATTCTTTCTCGCGTCGTCCTCCGGATCATTGCCGCTGCTACTTCTCTGCCATGAAACTGGCTCGGGCAACTTGTGCTTCGTGTGCCTCGCCAATTCGCTGACCGCGCTCCGCAGATAGTGAATCTGCGCCTCCTGCTGCACCGTCGTGTTGTACAACGCTTGAATGTCGTCCGTAAACTTTTGTATCTGCATCAGGCGGATCTCCTCTTTCTTCGTCTCTTTCATCGTCTGCCTGTTGTACTCGAGTATGACGCATGCTCCGGCCACGCTGAAGATGATGAACTCGCCCATCAGACTGGCGCCCAACTCGATCGCCATAGTCTCGTTCAGCTTGGCTACCTTCGTGGGCTTACCGAGGTTCATGACGTACATCTTCGCTTTCACCTCTGCCCAGTGATAAACTGCAAATGCACAGAACGATGACAAACACGTGGCAGAATTGCGCGTGCAATGGACTTCTGTGTCGCGGATAGAAAGATAAAAAAGAAAATGTACAACTCACACTGAGCGGGAGGTATGATGAAGTAAGTTCTGAAAATAGGATGACTCTTTGCCTGATTGACAAGAAACTTGGCTAGGGGTTTGCTGATCTGTTTGACAAAGAGCACGCCCAATTTGAGGGCTGGAAATACACCGACCGGCATCGTATTGTCAGGCTAATCGCTGGAAAACATGATATTTTTCTCCGTCAGCATATATCTGCTAGGCCGAGCGCGAACTCCACCATCGCCGTGGACCCTCGCGAACGATACAGATCTCTACGTGAGCGCAGGTGGATTGGCCAATGACTGTGAGAAATATGGTGCGGAAGGGCTGCTTTCGCGACGTAGGTTAAAATAATCCGGATCAAAATGATCCGTGGGTAGTGATTGGTCAAATCATATTCCGTGCTTTGATTGGTTCTTTGTTCGGTGCCGTGTCACAGTCGTGAATAAAGGCCTGTGTCCACGATGCTGGAACTTGG